TCACACCGCAGTAGAAGCTCCTTGGCTTAGATCGGCAGAGGAGTTTAGAGTGGACTACACGGTAGCAGCTCGTACAATATATCTTACGTTGGGAATGTATTGTTCGACAGTGTACTTTACTTTGTAAAGGAGTGCGTATTGAGGTAGGATTTGGCCTGGATATGTGACCAGGACAGTTTTTGTGGGGATGGACGCAGGATTGTTTGAATCTTGGTTGTCTTTTGGTTCTGATTTTCTGAAAAATCTTTTTATGTTGAAAATCTTAAAATTGGTGTTGTAGAGTATTGAGGCAGAAAGTTCAAGGTGTTGGGAGATGTCTTCAGGTGTCATATCTATGGGGATGCCTCTGATGATAATTTTTTTTAAGATGTAGGAGGTGGGGATTGTGGCTTGTAGGTTATTTTTTTTAAGTAATTCGTTTTTCAAGAGGGTGTTAGCAGCAAGTCTTTGGTTAATCATTATGCAGACATTATAAGGACCAGATTGTTCGATTTCCGTGAAGGTGTTATTCGGTAATAGGGGGATAATTTTTCTGGCAATGTCAATGGCATACAGTTTTGAATGTTGTGAATTGGTGTTTGAGCTAGGTAAAGAAGATATTGGCATATTGATGATTATTATTTTGAATGGTCCAGAAATGTCGGAAGGATATTCGAGGATGGATGGGGGTGGGAGGGATTAAGTTCCTGGGATTGGGTAAGGGACGGAAAGAGCGGTTGGGGTAAAGGTTGGGAGTACGTTGTTTGAGGTAATGAGTAATTCTGAGCATGAGGAATATTGGGCTGAAGTAGTGGATCGGATTGAGAGGTAGCAATTGTTGGTAGATCGTAGGATTCGCTTTTCTTTTTTGTAGACTTCTGATCATCCAGGTTGTTCAGTTCTTCTATAGGGGAGATGGTCCTTTTTCTAAGGTTATTCGCTCTTGACATGGAAAATTGTGCTTGTGAAGCATTAAGAATCTCTTCCATTTCAGAATCGTCATTAGATTGGACATTGGAGCTGGGATAACGGGGTAGCGAGGAAGTTACCTCTTTGATTTGTAGCCATGCCTAGGTCCTCTTCGTCCATGGTGAATGGTAAGGGAGAGGGCCTGGGCTGACCTCCCTTACTTGGGAGCTGAATCTATTAGGTTAAGTGAGATATTCCGTTATTACAGTTTATTAGAAAAAGAGTAGTGAGACTAGTTTTCCAGGATAGAATTGATGGGACGCGTTCACACACCAAACCGCGACACTATGTTGTTTGACGTGATAGAAAAAATTTTTTTACAGCGAGTCTCGAGTGAAAAATAGGCAGAGCGGTAACGAAACACGTACGTCTAGGAAGACCGTCAGCCATCTTTTCTCGGAGGCCTCCGAGATGTCTTTATACTATATAGATATACTCACTATAACTGCTCAGTGTTCACAAACATCAGTTATTGACCAGGTGCAAGTGATGGGAGGGGGTAGATGAGTCGACGCCAGCGTGCGTAGTGGTGAAAACAGGAAACCTGGGGTACCAAAAATTACTGTCATTTTTGCTTAATTAAGGAAAGAATAACAGTATTTCGTCAAATTTACAGACGTTACATATGCATAAATAGTGTCAATATTATGAAATTGCAGTTACACAAATGTAAAAAAATGAACTATGTGGTGCCAAGAATGGTTGTAAAATGTTTGAATGTAACAACATACTTATACATGAAGCCTCGTTATTTTTCCATCCAGAGCATACTCTCAGAAGCAGACGGCAAAAAGAAAGATAAATTTACGAAATAAGACATGATCATTGTGATTTCTATTATTTAAACGTTTATGAAATGTGGGTGCAAGAAAGTGCTGTGTTGTTCAGTCTAACAGTAGCGCAAAGACAAATGGTGTGAAATTACATAAATTTCAATGATTATTCAACTGTAAATAAAAGTAATTTTCATGTGCATTGCAACTTATATACAATTTTCAAAATAATCTAATTAAAACGTACATGCAGGTTAACTTTGTAGGGAGCTAAAGTTACCGATCGAGGTCTGCCTTATTACGACGGCACTTGTCAAATTGCTAATTTCATCACTATGAAATTCTGTAACATCGCACACACACGACTACTTTCAACCAACTGTTTACCTTTTTTTAAGGCTTCCGAGTTAAAACAAATCGAGTGTGTGATATTCCTAAAGCCTGTTTTTATGATAACATCCATTATCAGATGAATTAATACACTTATTTTTTGCTAGTTAATTAATTATTACCAAAAGTGTGCATCTGTGTATTCTCTTGAAGTGTAATGTAGGTACACCCGTGGTTGCATGATTTTGATACCAAGGGTGGCGCTGCATGACATACACCTGCCCAATACGCAACCTATTGGTTACAATCTGGGTACACTTCCATTTGTGATCGGTCGGTAGGACGGTCTGATTCTTCTAGCATGTACATCTGACACATCTGTATACATAGTGAATTACTTTCTTCAGGAATTGAATTGGACCGACCCACAAAAAACGTAATTTTTAACTCAATTTGAGTACTTAACTTGTTTCTTGCAAGATATCAACAAACTCATGACGTGACGTATAATGTGAAATAATACTGAAATCGTACGGGAACTTTTGGATTGTGAAGCGACAGATGTGGAGACCTAGAGACTCTTTCATTGGACCACTAAAGTTCCGCATTAGTATGGTAGAATTAGCTAAAGATCATAACGATATTCCCGAAATTCTGACTAGCTCGAAAAAAAATTAGGGTAGTAGTTTCAATGCATTATAACAAATTGAAATGGAATTTAACAAGTAGAAATATCAGCAAAAGCCCCCCAAAAATGTCAAAAATGGCCAAAACATGTTTTTTGCGTTTAGAAGAAAACTGAAGGATTGTACATAAAAAAGTGTTCCGTGAAAAAGATGTGCAATTTTAAGACAAACAAAATGAGTCGCGTTGGGTTCAGTTGGATTTAGCCGGTATCATTCTATACAATATTTAGAGCTGAAATTTTAACACAAGACATATATATTATATCCCTAATCATACACACAAAATTTCAGCTTAATCGATTTCAAACTTTCCGCGAACCGCAGCAAAAATCGAAGAAAGGCCATAAAAAAGTTGTAACGTGTAAGCCAACATAGGTACATTTTTCAAACGTATTTCGCTTCATTTATATTTAGTCTACAAGTACCTAAAATTCTATTCATTTTTACCAATAAGAAGAATCTTGAAAATTGATTGCAAAAAAAAAAACACATTTCTTTTTGAATTTTTGAATGCACTTGAGCAAAACATGCTTACAGAAAGTGGGCGAGACCTCCAGCGGCGGCTAGTCGAGCCGCTGATTCCACTGACCAGAGACCAAAAAGCCGTTTTTTGCAATCAATTTTCAAGATTCTTTTAATTGGTAAAAATGAATGGAATTTTAGGTACTTGTAGAGTAAATATAAACGAAGCGAAATACGTTTGAAAAATGTACCTATGTTAGCTAACAACTTTTTTATGGCCTTTTTTCGAGAGGACCTTTTTCTGTTTTTGCTGCGGTTCGCGAAAGGTTTTAGACCGATTAATCTGAATGAACTGTGTGTATAATATGATAAGAGCTATCATATATGTCTGATATTAAAATTTTAACTTTAAATATTGTATAGAATGCGAGTTATTGTACTTCGAAAAAATGGCCCAAAATGGCAGTTTTTTGCGATTTGCGAAAAAACGGCTAAACGTTCAATCTGAACCCAACGTGGCTCATTTTGTTTGTCTTAAAATTGCACATCTTTTTCAAGCAACACTTATTCATGTAAGTACGATCCTTCGGTTTTCTTCTAGACGCAAAAAACATGTTTTGGTCCTTTCTGCCATTTTTTGGCTCTTGCTGACATCTGTACTTGTAAAAGTCTATTTCAATTTGTTATAATACATTGAAACTACTACTCTATTTTTTTCCATGCTAGCCAGAATTTTCTGGACCGAAAAACTAATTCTGTCATACTACATAGTCTAAATTCACCCGTATAGTATCGCGACGAGTAACATCGTCGGTATTTCAAAATTGCCAGAGGCAAACAATTTATACCTGCCGCCACTGGGGCCAATCGATAGAGAACAAAAATTTGCTTAATAAAAAAGCCATTGGTGGCAGCAGAATTAGAAGCTATCTAGATACTACCCGAAAATTGACTTTGAACTTTGAAGTGCAGATTTTTTTTTTTTAACAGGTGTGCGGAATTCGTTTCTCGCGCCCTCTCTCCTTTCATTAGACGGAGACCAGCGGCGCCGCCGAATCCATGCTCGAGCTCCGACAACCGTCTTTCTCGCCCTAGGAGAAAGAGGCCAGGCAGAAGACAAGGCTCTCAACGCAACGACACCTGCCATCTACATATATATATTTATATATCTCCTATATAATCCGTGTGCCTCTCTCTTAGTTTTTTGTGCTTATTCGAAGTGAATAAGAAAGGAGTTGAATTAAACAACAGGTTTACATACTTTTTATGCCAACCAGATATCTGTTAAGTCAAGAAAATCTATTTTTCAAGTCAAGTCTTTTCCACCACAATCTAGTTATTGGACACAACTTTACGGTTTACAAAATACATTAAAAAATTACAGCATTGAAAGTTTAGTTTTGTGAGTTGATGTGAATTTCCCGCTTCGCCTGTTCTCTGTTAATGTTTGCATGAAATAGTGGATTTCTTCAAGTGCAACTTTGCGCCCTTAATACAAAAAATGTTGTTTTCACCTCGGGCACAAACATACAATAACCGCGACCTTCGAGCGCGTAAATTGTACTTTCTGCCCTAGGTAAGAAATCTACTATAACATTCTGCATACCATCTGCACCTATCATATATCGTATTCACGCAGGTTAATTGATACTTCAAAACAATTCATAAAAATTATTTTTGTTAGGCTTAGTGGAACTTTTTTTTGTGAAATAAAATAAACGACTTGTAAGAAATTCAAGTATTTGTATTTATTGAACTTCAAAGGATAAAAACTATGAAAGATAATAGCTCGCAATATAAATATATCACAGGCACTTGCACTCACAGCAAATGAGCCTTACAATTGCAACCTGCATAACATTTTATAAGTTTGAATCATTGGTTATTTATAATATATAAATCTATTTTAATAAAATTGAAACAGTCATACATACTTGAAAAATAGCTAAGATTTCAGCTACTTTTACATTTTTTCCTAAGCCTATCTCTACTGTAACTGGTGATGTATCTAATGTAATCCAAAAGATGTAATTGTTTTTTTGCTGATGATAATTTGTTACAAAACTTATGCAAAGATCATTAAGCAGTTCTCGAAAGAGTTCCATCGGTCTTTCCTGATTCAAACAATCAATTTCGTTCTTGGAGTTACAAACACTTTTGCAGCATAGCATTATTTCTTTTAGTCTCATAAATTTATTCGCGACTCCCTTAGATTCTATATCACTTTTTAGGTACATATAATATTTTAAGAAATCTATTTCATTTAGTTCAGGAGCACTCTTTCTGAAATTTTTCAGACTGAGATGTGAGTAAAGACCCTTAGCTTTTTCTACACTGTAGTTAAATAACATATCACTTTCCTCAATCTGAATTTTATCCATTTCGGATAGTATTATTTTTGTGTACATACCAACTTCTGACTCGGCATTATCTTTGTCTGAAAAATTGAAACTGTATTTCCCCATTATTTTTTGGTACATACATTTTGCTGCCAAGTTTTTTGCTATTTTCTTTGTTCGACCTGTAGCATCTACTGTTGAATTGTTATAGCTACAAGTCACTGTAAATGTTGGATTATGAGCTGATCCTACTGCGTGACAATCATAATAGGGCTCGATTTTTCCCACTTTATCAGTTTTTTCCTAAAAATTTATGACAAATAATTATGTTATAGAAAAACAAAAATGTACATTTTGTTCACGTGAGAAAAAAATAAACATTACCTTTAATTTACCAATCCAATTTTCACGGGAATCCTCATCATCTTTTGAAATATCTTTGGCACTTACATTAAAGGTACTGCAATGTGGCATAATTAACTGTAGCATGCTTTCAGCAGCTTTATATTTAGCGTCCTTTTTGCTAAATCCCGTTTTTGTTACAGATGGCCACTTACTCCCACACTGCAATATTACTGTGAACTTATTTCCTTGAGTTCCCCGCATTTCTTCAATCATTTCATACTTTGGTTCTATATTTAATTTTATCAAAGTCTCTTGCAAGCGCGAAATAGGATTTTGGCTCATTTTACTATCTGCGTGAAATAAATAATTCGTTGTTTAATTATCATAATTGTAAAAGAAACGCATAAAAAATGTTTTGAAAAGTAAATACATGCTTGGTAGTACTGATAAAAATAATCGATCAAATTTATCTGACTATTGAAGAAATAAGCATAAGTTTTTACCAAAACAGTATCAAATAATGGCAGACTTAGTATGAACGATTTTCGTTGCTTGTTTGGCGATATGAAATCCGTCACCGTCATTAAAATGCCAACTAAGGTAATTGTGTGTGGCTAACCAAAGTACAAGTATACTCACAAAATGCTTATCACAGCTAGATGAATTTATATAATTTTGTATCTTGAAAATGCTCCGTTTATCCCTGCACTTAACTGTGATGTATATTCATATACACACTACTATTAGAGAGTTGAGGGGCTAGAAGCTAAAATTGCTAGAAAGCTTTGTTTGAAACCATGTTTGAAATTTGAAACTGATAAGCAATAGGTTTGTTCATTTATCCACCTTGGAGCGCTCTGAGCGCTCCGAGGCTTCCGAGCGCGAGCGATCTATAAATGAACACGGCCACAACAGTAAGGCCCTTACGGCCTTACTCGCTTACTCCCCGCTTATTGGCCAGGTGCATGTCATGCAGCGCCACCCTTGGTGTCAAAATCTTGCAACCACGGGTACCCACATTACACGTCAAGAGCATACACCGATACACACTTTTGGTAATAATTAATTAACTAGCAGAAAATTAGTATATTTATTCATCTGATAATGGATGTTATCATAAAAAAAGGCTTTAGGAATGTAAGCTCCTTATTAGCTTCTGTGCAGCTATTCACATAGACATTTTTTGCTTATTTCATTGTAAACGTTCCTATTGAAAAAGGGGTTCCACTCTTCCGCTAAACTCAAATTGAGTAAACAGACTGAGCAGACCTATACTGTGTTCTCTGTCAGTCAACATTGTTGCGAATATGGGCTTTGGTTTGTTGCCTAATGGAAAAAGAGGTATAGGTCTGTTCAGTCTGTTCACTCACTTTGAGTTTAGCGGAACATTGAAGCCCCCTTTTCAATATGAACGTTCACAATGAAATAAACAAAAGATGTCTATGTAAATAGCTCCACACACTCGATTTGTTTTAACTCGGAAGACTTAAAAAAAGGTAAACAGTTGGTTAAAAGTAGTCATGTGTGTGCGATGTTACATAATTTCATAGTGATGAAGTTAGCAATTTGACAAGTGCCATCGTAATAAGGCCAACCTCGATCGGTAACTTTAGCTCCCTACAAAGTTAACCTGCATGTACGTTTTATTTAGATTATTTTGAAAATTGTCTATAAGGTGCAATGCACATAAAAATTACTTTTATTTGCAGTTGGATAATCATTGAAATTTATGTAATTTCACACCATTTGTCTTTGCGCTACTGTTAGACTGAACAACACAGCACTTTCTTACACCCACATTTCATAAACGTTTAAATAATAGAAATCACAATGATCATGTCTTATTTCGTAAATTTATCTTTTTTTTTGCCGTCTGCTTCTGAAAGTATGCTCTGGATCGAAAACTAACGAGGCTTCATGAATAAGTATGTTGTTACATTCAAACATATTACAACCGTTCTTGGCACCACATAGTTCATTTTTTTACATTTGTGTAACTGCAATTTCATAATATTGACACTATTTATGCATATGTAACGTCTGTAAATTTGACGAAATACTGTTATTCTTCCTTAATTAAGACAAAATGACAGTAATTTTTGGTACCCCAGGTTTCCTGTTTTCGCCACTATGCACGCTGGCGTCGACTCATTTATCCCCTCCCATCACTTGCACGGTGCAAGTGAGTCCCATCACTTGCACCTAAGGTGTATTCCGCAAATGCTGCCAGCAGTTAACAGTGCTCCCAAAAGTGGCCTCCAAAGTCCAAAGTAGCGCGATATTCAAATTGGCTATATGGAGCAAAACAAAAAACCCACATAACTCAACATAATTTCTAACATAATAAATAAATAAACCCCAAGCTATTCAACCCGATGACTCAATGCTAACCAACCCAGTAACACGAAACGCCTACTGGCCACTTTTAAATTTAATGCTTTGAATAATAACAAAAGCACCGATCACCACACATAGCTCGCAATATAAATATATCACAGGCACTTG